GGGGGGGTGAGGGGAAAGAGGGAGGGAGGGGGAGGAGGGAAGGGAGGAGGGGGGGTGAGTGGGAGGAGGGAAGGAGGAGGGGTGGATGGAGGGAAGGGGATGAGTGCATGAGGGAGATGGTGAGTGGAAGGGAGGAGGGAGGGGGTAAGGGAAGGAGGAGGGGGGAAGGTAGGAAGAGGGGGAAAGGGTGTGAGGGGAAGGTAGGAGGGAGGAAAGGTGAGAGAAAGGGAAGGAAAAGAATGATAGAAGAGATAGAGGGAATAGAGAGGGCAAGAAAAGGTAGGGGAAGGAAAAGGAAGGAGATGGAAGGGAGAGTGAATAGAGAGAACCAAGCGAAGGGAGGAGAAAGGAAGAGGAGAGAAAAGGGGAGAAGGAGAGAGGGCAAGTCAGGAAAATAGAATAAAGAAAGTGTCTAAAAGAGAGGAAATAAAAATGATAGAATGCACTTAAACAAAACATCAAAACTAAGGTTCCAAAAGCGAGAAAGAAAAGAAAAGAAAAGAAGAGAAAAGAAAATTGCAAAACAAAACAAGATATCATAACAGGTAACAAACAAACAAACAAGCAAAAAAAAAAAAAATGAAATTAAGAATAAGAATAAAAAATAAACAAAATGAAAATAGAGCAAAAGCAATATATACATATAATCTAAAGGAACAAAAAGAAAAAGAAAGAAAAAAGAAGGAAACACGAGAATAAAAAAAAAAAAAGTAATATAAAAATAAATAGAAAATAGAACAGAAGTAAAAAAAGTAAACAAAACACATAAAAAAACATCAAAAGAAGTAAAAGGAAACGAAAAAAGTTAACAAAACAAAAACTCTAAAGGAATAGAAGAATAAAAGAAGAAAAAAATGAAAAAAAACACAAAAAAAAGAAAATCTGAAAAAAAACTTTAAAAAAATTAAATGAAATAAATAACACGAAAAGCAGGAAAAATCAACAAATAAATAAACAAAGAAAGAAAGAAAAAAATCACTTACGTGCACAGTTGGGCAGGACAAACCCGGCAGGACAGGCACACAGGCCCGGAATCACACACGTCCCGCCGTTGTTGCAGGGCGGGTTGCACACAGCTGGGGTGGGGGAGAGG